ACATTATAGGGATTCCCTTTCGTGCGCTCCAATCGATAAAAAAAAAAAAAATCAGATGAATAAACATAGGGACACCGCAAAGTCCAGGGACTGATCGCGGCGTGGATAGTAACTATACCTGTAGTCAGAGATTATCCGATATTTATATCAAACACAAATACAAAATTGTCATATTATTAGTAGGTAGGCAGTGCATGTATTCACTATATACATTTATAAAACGTAAATAAACAGAAATGCCCATTGCACTATTGCACATGAGCATGATGAAACCATATACCGAAGTTGAATGCATTACCCAGTTGACCAAAACATGTGGCAGCTTTATCCCTGCTGCATTTCAAATGTTCCATGTTTCATCACAGAGATGTTCCCATCAGAGATATAGCATAGATGAATGTCCGCCTCAAATGAAATCACAGACTTAGATCAGTGATGCAACATCAGACTTGAATCAGATATGCTCCTGTGAGATCACAGTGATGACTATGTATCTACATAGCTCTCTCCATGAGCTTGCCAGAGACGTTTCTGATAAATCTGTGCTCTGCATTAGCTCCATCCCAAATCATCCATAAATTTATACTGGTTCCACCAGTATTTGAATCAGTTTCGAATGCAACACCATAATGTTTAGGATATATTCTTGGATTTTCAGATGTTGAAATCAAAAAATCCATGAATACACCCCTAAACACATGGAGTGGCATTCAAAACAGTGAAACAAAAGGAGTAAAAATGTAAACTTTATTCCAATCCATTGACAAATTACTAAACAAACCTCAAAATATATGTAAAATAAAAATATGAAATAGAATATACAGGGCGTTCCCAGTTATCATGATGATCACAGCATGGTTTTCTTCCATAACTCCTTCATTTATTTCCTTTTTACCTGCAGATTCCATCTCTTGGAAGTGATGCATAGAAAAGTTATCATTCATTTTCATGGGAGATCATTGTTTTGTTTTTACTGTTCTCTCCAACCATTTTCCCATCAAAATCGAGATCAAAATCTTTAGTTGAGCTGACTACAACTAGAATAAATGATATTTCAGTGCAAATAAAAGTATACAAAACAAGTGTTCACCTGTCATTATTGCGAAAACTCTCAGATTGGCCTAACCAGCTGGTCTTTGCTACATGGGAATCAAAACCTGGTCTCTTCAGTATATTTTTGTACCTAGTATGCTTTCTGAAATCAAAATTGATGATTTTCCTCTCTTGAAGTCCAGCTGGAATAAAAATTCAATTTCAAACTACAAACTAGTAGCATACATGTTAATAATAAAAACATGACACAAAACACAAGATACATTCACAAATATTGTCACTAAAATTGCAGAGTTGAATTTCCTTGTTGAATACAAAGAATCACAAGTACTTAAAAACTGAAAATTAAATAGCCTCAAACCTAGCTAGAATAAAGAACCAAAACATTATCATCTATTTGCAGATATCTATTTCATGTGGTCAATGATTTATGAATGATTATTCAATGATTATAAATTTAATTGGTATTCAATTGAAATGAATTCCACCTAGACATGATGGTGTGCAAACTGCAAGGGTAGGCAAATCATATCTAAAACTTACTTACCTTGGTAGGTACTGACACCGTATAGAAGTATACGGTGGTACTGATGACTACATCAGCAGAGGGCTTCGAATCACACAAGTGGCTTACTTGGAATGAAATTCATTTCAATATCCCAATGAAACGAGCTCATCATCTTGGTGATTTTGGTGAATGGCAGATCATTGTTGTTCTGGTCATTTAGTGAAATAACAAATACATTAGTTTTGTTTTGTAAACAACGAGGTATCCTTTTGTGCTGCTAATTTCGTTTCGTTGCCGAATTTCTTGAAAATCCACGAAAAAGTGAGGTTAGGAAAGCCCAGTAAACACAAAGCACATTCTTCGTCTTCGTGATTGTTAAACCACATTAACCACAACCACAGTGAATTTCACGTACTCAAATGATCACTATTAAACCTACAATACAAGCAAGAATTATATTTTGGATGCAATTTGCATCAGTTCAATTTCAGAACGTTGTGGAATGTGATGCCACAAATTTCTTTAATTGAGCTATATTGTGATGACGCCTGGGATGCCTCAATTTTATCACGTTGATAGAACGTGTGATGAAACAAAGTTCTTTGATTGATCTCCTTTGTGATGACGCCTGAGATGCCTAAATTTTATCACGTTGATAGAACGTGTGATGAAACAAAGTTCTTCAATTGATCTGCTTTGTGATGACGCCTGGGATGCCTCAATTTTATCACGTTGATAAAACGTGTGATGAAACAAAGTTCTTTAATTGATCTCCTATGTGATGACGCCTGAGATGCCTCAATTTTATCACGTTGATAGAACGTGTGATGAAACAAAGTTCTTTAATTGATCTGCTTTGTGATGACGCCTGGAATGCCTCAATTTTATCACGTTGATAGAACGTGTGATGAAACAAAGTTCTTTAATTGATCTGCTTTGTGATGACGCCTGGAATGCCTCAATTTTATCACGTTGATAGAACGTGTGATGAAACAAAGTTCTTCGATTGATCTCTTGTGTGATGACGCCTAGGGTGTCTCAATTTTATCACATTGATAGAACGTGTGATGAAACACTGATTTGTAGCAGTAGCATGTTATATTTTAGATGCAAGTTGCATATGTTTCAGAACGGTGTGATGAAACAAAGTTCTTTGACTGATCTCTCTTGTGATAGAGCTGAGACATGTGTGGTTGACTGGGTATATTCAATTTTTCTTGAGATATTGCGAAACAACTATCTTAACTTTAACGCCCTGTATCTCGAGAGCTGAACACTTGAAGGTCGTCCATATCTCAGTGATCATAAAATCAGGAGGGCTATCACCTGTCAAGCGTTGTCAGTTGAATTTCGCAACACCCTGTATACTTGCAAGATGCTTCAGTATCAATGAAAATATCCTAGTATTCCTAATAATGACGGGCAACAGTGTGATGCATGAATTCCCAGAAATACAAAAAAGAAGAAGACAAACTACATAATTGTCCACTAGATGTACGATAAAACTAGAAGAAGAAGAAGAAGTAGATGTACGATAATTATCGATTTTGTACGATCAAATAACGAACGATAATGGCCTTTTGTACGATAATTCATAAATTACAACTAAAAATCCTATTGCAAAATATGTAATGATGTTATTTTAGGAAGTCTCACAATATTTTGTAAGCCCCTGACAAACCTAAATATATACTGCTATAAAAATTTTGAACAGCACTGGAATACTTGACATTACCCATACCGATCGAGTCAGGGGATTCACACCAATTTGCGGGGTTCACCGAATTTGGTTTCATGTTTTGCTCATTGCTCCTTGCATTTTATATTTTATATATTTTGTTCGCGCATCGGACGGTGTTGTATCAATTTTCTCGTGTTACAATGCACAAAAAATGCAGCGAGGTAAGTACCTACAAACACTAGTCACTCACATATAGTTTTCATTTTGAAATTTCGTAATCTCCCTGATTTCTCATCGGAATTCCTTCTGCAATAGAAGCTAATAGAAAAACTCATGTCAGAAGACTGAAACTCATTAGGTAACATATATTAAAAAATTTTAAAGATAGATATAAATAAGAGTTTTGAGATTTACTCAACCTATATGTGGGTAGCCTCAAATTTGTTTTGGCTCTGGTATCATGGTGGTGAAGTCGTATGGTATATATGTCCTCCTGCCTGATAAGTATATTTTCATATCTCAATTTTTTGGCATAACACAAACATTCATATATGAAGCAAGATCGCAGAGTCAAGATATAGAGATTTTTGAACAAAGATTTTTACAATGGTCATCATATTTAGCCATAAGGAAAGTGCGGGGGTCCAAAGATGAGTCCTAATACACTCCAAGAAACTTGACTGGTTAAAAATTTTCTATATCATCTTTGGTTGAGAACTCCAAAGTTTTGGTTTTATCATCATTCATAGTGAGATAGTTGCTTCTAGACCAGTTTATTATGAAACTTTCAGATTCGTTAGCGTTGGACAGTAGAGAAAAGTGGCATCATCAGCATACATTACACATTCGTTAGGTAAAAAAGCATAATTATCATTGATATAAATAATAAATAATACTGGACCAAGGACTGAACCCTGTGGTACTCCATAATTGACTTCCAAAGGTTTTAATATATTGCCGTTGAATTTAACACGTTGCTGGCGACCTGCAAGGTAGGATGTAAATAGATTCAAGCACCATTATACAGAGAAGTGCACAAAAAACGGCCAGGATTGTAACTTTTGAATTATTCGAGATGAAACAATTTTTGTTCTATCACTTCCGGTTTTACTGGAAATGACCCCAACTTTCGATTTTCAGATGGGACACCCTGTATTGAATTCCATAATCGTTTAGGGATTGTCATAACAAATTCATCAATATCGGGTTTGATAGGTTTATTTCAAACGATTACGCAGATATTCGCGTTCGATGTTTCCATAAGCTCAATGAGTGTGACAGAGAAAGAAATTTGTCACACCCATTGAGCATATGGAAACTTCGAATGCAAATATCTTCCGTTATCGTTTGAAATAACCCATCAAACCCGGTATCGTTGAATTTGTCATGATAATCTCTAACCAATTATGGAAAACAATACAGGGTGTCCCATTTGAAAATCCAAAGTTGGGGTTGTTTCCGGTGAAACTGGAAGTAGAAGAAAACTTGTTTCATCAATTAACGGGCAATTTGGCATACTTGCTACCCACCAATTTTCAAAACCCTATCTCGAATTATTCAAAAGTTACAGTAGTGGCCGTTTTTTGTGCACTTCTCTGTATGTTATTAAATTACAAACAAAAGTTATTGAAATATCGCTTATTTCAAGGTTATTCAATCTATTCTGAGAGACAAGATAAGAAAATCCATAGTATTCAAAAAAAGAAAGGAAAATTCAGGGGTTTATGGAGAGGAGGGGAAGAAAGCTGAATAAATATCTAATTTACAAAACAATAATTTATTGAATTTGTACAAATAAAATGTGAAATGCAAAAACAACACTCATCCGATTTCGTGTTTTATTAGAAGTAAATACGCTCAATTATAACAAAAATCAGTCAAAGGAACAGTACACACTATCGAACAAAACACCGCACACTGTAATATTATCAAAAAATGTCTCTTACACAATTATTTCACCTTCTATAACTCATCATGCTCCTCCTGAAACATAAAAAAAAAACATAATGAAAATCAGTAAACTCAGTAAAATCACCAACCGAATTGTGCTGATGAATTGTGAAGCAAGTTGTGGAGTGATCACGAAAATTATACCAATATACATTTTTATCATATACAGGGTGATCCTATCAGAAGTATCTGGAGAAAGAAAGGACAGAACGTTCTGAAAATTTAGATGCTTTGATAATTGAACATTCTCTATTCCTCTGAAATATTTTCATAGATACAGTGTTGCCACTTCTATCAGAAACAACTAGCAACCTCGCTATTTTAAATGGAGCACCATGTATTTTATTGAATTTTTAGATTCTTCCTGAAGAACTGATTTCATCCATGTATCACACTTGGGGTCTAGCAGGAATGATTACAGAGATATAGGGTGGTCAAAATCGAGTTTTTTTCACATTAGGATTTTTTTGTGTAGAAACTATTCATTATCGATCAAAAGGCTCACATGTTCCCATCTTTACTTTCTATTCGCTATCTACTGACATTTAATTGGAACAGATACAGGGTGATCAGTATTCTGAATCTTGAAGCACCCTGTATTTTTTCCGATTAAATTCCAGTAGATAGTGAATCAAAAGTTGAAATAGGGACATGTAAGCCGTTTCGATTGATGATGGATAGTTTCGCCACAAAAAAATCCTAAAATTTGAAAAATCTCGATTTTGAACACCCTATATCTCTTTAATCTTTTTCAATGGACCCCAAGTGTGATGTATCGATAAAATAAGCTCTTCAAGAAGAATCTAAAAATGCGATAAAATACAGGGTGTTCCATTTGAAATATCAATGTTCCTACTACTTTCTAGTATACGCGGCAACACTGCATTGTCGAAAATATTTTCAATGACGAGAGCATATTCTAAAATGTATGCATGCACATTTCCATGGATTTCTCCTGGCTGATTCTCGATATAAAGATAGTGTAAGCTCATCATGAGATACCCTGTATATTTATACAGGGTAATCCACGGTGGATGGCCAATAAGAAGTATCTGGAGGACGAAGAGACAGTACATTCTGAAAATTGGAATGCTTTGATAGCTATTGAGCATTCTCTATCCGTTTGAAATATTTTCATCGATACAGTGTTGCCACTTCTATCAGAAACAACTAGCAACCTCGCTATTTTAAATGGAGCACCATGTATTTTATTGCATTTTCAGATTCTTCCTGTAGAGCTGATTTCATCGATGTATCACACTTGGGGTCTAGCAGGAATGATTACAGAGATATAGGGTGTTCAAAATCGGGATTTTTCAATTTTTGGGATTTTTTTGTGTCGAAACTATTTATCATCGATCGAAACGGCTCACATGTCCCTATCTCAACTTTTGATTTACTATTTACTGGTATTTAATTGGAACAGATACAGGGTGATCAGAATTCTGAATCTTGAAGCACCCTGTATTTTTTCCGATTAAATTCCAGTAAATAGTGAATCAAAAGTTAAGATAGGAACATGTAAGCCGTTTTGATCGATGATGGATATATTCGCCACAAAAAAATACAAAAATTGAAAAATCTTGATTTTGAACACCCTATATCTCTGAAATCTTTCTCGATAGACCCCAAGTGTGATGTATCGATAAAATCAGCTCTCCAAGGAGAATCTAAAAATGCGATGGAATACAAGGTGTTCCATTTGAAATATCAATGTTGCTACTACTTTCTAGTAGAATCGGCAACACAGCATTATCAAAAATGTTTTAATTGGAGAGAGCGTATTCTAAAATATGAGCATGCACATTTTCATGGATTTCTCCCGGCTGATTCTCGATATAAAGATAGTGTAAGCTCATCCATCATGAGATACCCTGTATATTTATACAGGGTGATCCACGGTGGATGGCCTATGAGAAGTATCTGGAGGAAGGAGAGACAGAACGTTCTGAAAGTTGGGATGCTTTGATAATTGAACATTCTCTATCCGTCTAAAATATTTTTATCGATACAGTGTTGCCACTTCTATCAGAAACACCTAGCAACTTCGTTATTTTAAATGGAGCACCCCGTATTTTATTGCATTTTCAGATTCAAGGGTGCTCAAAATCGGAGAATCTAAAAATGCGATGAAATACAGGGTGTTCCATTTGAAATATCAATGTCGCTACTACTTTCTAGTAGAAGCGGCAACACTGCATTGTCGAAAATATTTCAAATGAAAAGAGCGTATTCTGAGATATAAGCATGCACATTTTCATGGATTTCTCGCGATTGATTCTCGATATAAAGATAGTGTAAGCTTGTCGTGAGATACCCTGTATATTTATACAAGGTGATTTTGAAATAAATACATATAATCAGCACATGGATATAATACAGTATAACGAATATTCCCATGATACCAGATTTTTATCAATTCTTCTAATTAACAATAAATTCCATTCCGAAAATTGAACAAAAAACGAGAAAAAAATCAAGAACGCCACTTTGAAACAATTTAAATGATTGAAACTCGCGTTATTGTTCCTTCCGCACATACATTTGAACTGAGGTGACGTCAGAATTGCTATAGTGTGGAACTTCGGGTAGAAAAAGAGGTCCAACCTCAAATTTTATTTTGATCCCTTTATTTTTGTTATTGGTGCCACTCGATAGTAAACGTCGAACTTACTCAAGGCTTGAAATATTTGCACTTATTTCAATGCCACCCTGTATATTCACCATGTTCCCTACTATAAACAAATATTGATTCTTGGGAATAATAAAGTTGATTGATCAACATGATATAATATTTCTTTCCACTTCCGGTAGGTGCGCACAAGTTTTCAGTGAAATAATAAAGATGTTCGTCGGTGCGATCCGAAAGATAAAAAACTCCACTATTTTTCAAAAACAAAATAAATGCAAAAATCGACCTTTCACTTGGAAAAAAAACAATTTTCCTGGAAAACAAAATTAATGCAAAAATCGATAAATTTCCACTCACCTCGTGCACTGGAGGCACGTTATCCTCCGCTCCCTCCTCCTCATCGTCATCCTCATCCTCCTCATCGTCTTTCTTGTCTTCGTCGCCGCCAGCGGCTTCCCTTTCCGCATTGTCTAAAGCCTCTTTGGCTTTCCTTTCGCCTTAAAAAAAGAAGAAGAATCGATGATTAAAATGCTGATGAACTCATCAAAAATATAAGTAGATTTTTTTCCAACGAACATCTTGAATATTTCAATAGGTGTCACCCTGTATATATTCACCTTCTTGTTGGTCCTTCAGGCCGGCGATGGCCTTTTGCGCGTACTCGACGTCATCGGTGATGAGCACGTGATCGAAGATGGTGCCGGATTTCACCTGCCACAAGTCGAAGCCGATGCCGCAAATTTCCGGCTGTTTGTAGAGATCCGGTACTGGGGAGTATTCGGGGTTGTCGATTTCCGGATGGACCCAAGAACCTGACAAAAAAAAATCAATATTAGGATGAATTTTCTGAAAAAAACAAAAATCGCGAGAGTTTTTTTTGTCGAAGGAAACGACTATTTTAATGAGAATTTTGTTCCCATGAAATAAAACGACAAAAAATGCTTTTGAATGTTTGATGTTTATATCATGAAAAATAACGATGATCAACTAACTAACAAGACAAATAAATGCATATGACTGTAGATATGGCATTATTTCAGTTTATTCCACCCTGTATTAAATCGTAATGAAGATCAAGATTATATTTTATCACATATATGAAAGGTATCATCAAATACTTCGATGAATCTCTGATATAAATTATATTCCTCAACTCGAAGATTTATTATTTTTTAATAATAATATTTTTTCTGTGACGGGAAAAAAGTTTGGCATTTCATCTCTGTTGGCAGGTTATAAAATATCACTTTTCATCGGATATACAGGGTCGCTGATATGTATGGAAACAGGTGAATATCTCGGTAACCTGTTGTTAGATTTTTTGAATTAATGTACAGTGTGATTTCGAAACGTGGCGGATTTGAAAATGTTATAGTCCATGTCGCCACTTTTTCAGTGATTCCGATTTTTTTTTGTAACTTCCTTATTTTGAATGAAACACCCTGTACTTTATTGAATTTTCAGATTCTCCTTGAAGAGATAATTCTATCGATCTATCACACTTGGGGTCTATCGGGAATGATAACATAGGTATTGGGTGTTTAAAATCTAGATTTTTCAACTCGAGGATTTTTTGTGTCGAAACTATCCATTATCGATCAGAAACGCTTCAATGTTACTATCTTCACTTTCGATTTACTATCTACTGACATTTAATTGGGACATGAATCTTGAACCACCCTGTATTTGTTTCAATTAAATGTCAGTAGATAGTAAATAGAAAGTAAAGATAGAAACATTGGAGCGGTTTTTATTGATGATGAATAGTTTCGACACAAAAAACCCTGAAGTTGAAATATCTAGATTTTAAACCCCGTAGATTTATGACATCATTCCCGCTCGACCCCAAGTGTGATGAATCGATGGAATCAGCTCTTCAAGGAGAATCTGAAAATTCAATAAAGTACAGGGTGTTCCTTTCAAAATAGGGAAGGTAATAGAAAATCCGGAATAACTGGAAAAGTGGCAACATTGGTTATGAAATTTTCAAATCCGCCACGTTTTGAAATCACACAGTACATAAATCCACAAAAATCCAACAACAGGTTACCGAGATATTCACCTGTTTCCATACATATCAGCGACCCTGTATATCACATATATATGCATTATTGATGTCTTTTGTTGTGCTATAGTTCCGAAAAATGAGTCAATAATACCGTCTCCGAGAAAGAACTGCAAGTCCTTTTATCTTCCATTCGACTTCGCGGTTACGTATATTTCTAAATAACCACCAAATTCGCAATTTTTTGAAATCAAATCACAGAATTAGACTGACAGAAAAGTGACATCAGATATTCGATTACTTCAAAAGAATGATAAAGATGCCTACAACGCAGGTGTCCCAACTGTTAAAAACTTAAAATCCCACGTCGATAATTTTCAGATTTCAAAATAATGTAATATCTTCTCAATATTGACTCGTCCTTTCTTCTGTCACAGAAAAAAATAGTGTATTATACACGGAAAAAATATGAAAAATATTAGATTTCAGCTCACGGTTTTTTGGAGCTAAAATCTACTACTTTTTTCCCTTATAAATAACATCTTACTATAGCAACATAACTCATTCAAAATAAAAGATAAACTAATATGGATAATACAGAGTCGTAACCGACAACATATGGCATGACAATGATTTTGATACATTGTTTCAATCAATAAATATTCTTGTCCTGGCAACTTCCTTCAGATAATTTATTATATTAAATAATTAATATTGTGGTTTGACCCCCACAGAAGACATGGGCTAACAAATAACTGGACACAAATAAAACTGGTAAACAAAATGTAGATAGCCACAAAATTAGATCAGTTTTCGGTGTGCCTGTCAGTAATTTGTGTGGTGTGGAGGGGCTTAAAGTATTATGCGCTGTAACAAGATATAAAATGGATCCCTTTTATAAAGGAATGAATTCATTTGAAATAGTAAAGTGAACAAGTATCGGTTGAAAGTTGAACTTCCTGTTTTCAATGAGAGTGTTTATGCAAACATTTAACAATTATCAATAAACAAGTAACAAGTGAGAAGTTGGCCAACATTATTTCCGAAAATCTTATTGACATATTGATGATGCCGGCAACGTCGTACTGTGACATAGGGAATCGTATTTTAACACAGTGTGAATATGGCTTTTCATAAAGTACGTCTTAGAAATGGTGAAGGAGCAAAGTTCCTGTTTCTTTATTTATCATTTTCTGAAGTGGTGTTTGATCTTACGAAGAAAAAAAATTAAGAAATACTTATGTATTGAATTTTCACAAACTTTACAGTGAGATATAAACCCCAATATTGAAAACATCCCTATTTCTTCTGGCAGTTTTGCCAGTTAAATTTCTGCCAAATCGTGCTCGAATTGAGGCAGGTGCGCCTAACCACCAACACACCACCATACAAAGTTCCCGCCGAGCGTTCATAGAAACAAAAACTAGACACTGCTTGAATACTGATTGGAATCGCGAATGATTTACCTTTGTATGCGGGGTTGTCGATCTGTTTAGGTTTCCATTCGCCCTTGTATTCCGGATTGTCGATCATCGGTGGTTCCCATTCGCCGTCCATTTCGTCGTCCCAATCGTCGGGTTTGGTGGCATCAGGATCGGGAATGTGTTCGGGCCTGGGAAAAATAATTCAAAATGCTGCCGTTATTGCTGGAACTCGTTGAATTCAAGATGGTCCAGATCCAAAATCATCTGTAGTCTAAGAGGAAGAGAGGTAGGAGAAAGGCTCTCCCACTTAGATTCATCTTCACGGCTATAAAAGAGGATATATGGCGTTTCGGGGGATCTTAGTCGGGATAGCTTCTCAAACAATGTTCTTGATACAGAGCCATCATTGAACTGGTACCAGTCATATTCTCATATTGTCTTTGGAGATGGTGTTAAGCGGCGTTCACAACCAAACTTTTTACGTTTTGCTTTTTACGTTTCGTATTCTGATTGGTGGAGCAAAATCTGTAATTGAAATGACTGAAAATATTCAGCTTTTTGCGTTGCAAGAAGCCATCGTCTGTGAAAATACTAAAAATAGACGAATAATATGAAACATTCTGTAATAATATGGAAGTTATGATGTTTTCATGATTTTTTCGTGAATCCTCAGAATAGTAGATAGGTATACTGTTCAATTCATTATTTTCTTACTGAAGATTGATTTTTTCTCTTCAAGTATTGAATAAGGATCAATTTTTGTCACCGCCAGTTCTATTAATTCAATATTATAAATTATCTGATCAATATTATTGTTATGATAATTTACTTCATTTCAGGATGAAAAACAAATTACAAAACCAAGGCAACTGAGCCATAAAGAGTCACGTTGATTTTTTGTTGTTGTGAATGTCATTTGCAATGGTTTAGTTCACTTTTAATTTCAGATTCTGCTTCACCAATCAGAATACGAAACGTAAAAAGTTTGGTTGTGAACGCCGCTTAATAGTGACCGCTATAGACACTTGAGCCGCAGTGTGTAAAGCTGGTAAATTCTGCAGTCGATAATAAGATCGTACCGGAAGAGCTTCAGGGTTAAAATCAATCCTGGCGGCGCTTCCATGATTTTGGTTATGTGTTCTCTGACGGTCAATCGACTGCATATCTCTACCTCTTAGACTACAGATGATTTTGGATCTGGACCATCTTGAATGCAACGAGTTCCAGCAATAACGGCAGCATTTCAATAATATGATTCATCTTTATATTGATTTTTGAATAAATTGTACAAAATGTTTCAAGTGAATCTTCGAATAATAGAAATTCTTTTTTATATTAAAAAAATTCACATTTGCTTTCGTATAGGACAATGGGGAAGTTTCCTTTCGATGAATTTTCATAAAATAAGTTCGGAACTCTCTAGTTCTATGTCCACGCTGTACAGAATGGCGACCGATAAAGTCCAAGTCGTTTTCATTTTCAAATTGAAGCAATTTCTAATTTTCTGATAGCTGATGGTGAAGAATATAGCTAGCGAATAGCTAACGAATGAAAAACGATTGAAAAAAATAGAGGAAGTAAAACTGGTTAACAAAAACATGCATAACCACAACTGCACTCGGAGCAGGAATGCAGAAGGTAGTTGGCTTCATTCTGACAGGTTATGGTTTTGTTATTCATGCATTGAAATATCTCGAGTAGAGTTCGGCCCTAAACGAAAATATCATTGAATCAATGAATCCCTATCGGCTACATTCGATGATACTATCCTTCCTAATTTACTGTCATCGGTCAGAATGAAGCCGACACCCATGGCACCTTCCTCTTGTTGTGCCTGTAAGTATTTTGAGTGGTGTGGACGGACTCAAAGTATTAGGCGCTGTTGCAAGATATAATCTGCAACTTTCCTAGTCAATAGATCCGTTTTATTAAGGAACAAATTCATTTGCAAAAAAATTACTGACAAGTTATAAATAACATATTGTAATATATCGATAGTGAAAAATAATAGATACTGTCGCAAAATATCATAATTTATCTTTATTAGTAATCAACTTCTTTCAGCCAATGAGAGATTCACGGTAATTATTCATAATACTTGACAAAGTAGGATTGGAGGACCTATCGTTAGTTATTATGCATTTAAAGAACAATTTCTGGAAATCTAGACATATTAATGATGTCGGCAACGTCGTACTGGCACAGGGAATCGTATTTTAAGATTTTCAGAAAGTACGTCATAGGAATGGTGGAGGAGCCAAGTTCCCCTTTTATTTATTTTTTTCTGAAATGAAATTTCATCTTACGAAAGGAAAAATACTTATGTATTAATTTTTTTACAAACTTCACAGTGAGATAAGAACCTCAATATAGAAAACTTCCCCATTGAAAGCAAAGCAATGAAGGCGACAATTCAAATAAAGCATCCAGTTTGAGCAATTGACGTTCAAATTAATTATTTCAAACGCGGCAATTCAAATGTAAATAGAGCAATTCAAATGAATTTGGTACAAAGCGATAAGAGCAATGATTCAGAAGTAGCAATAAAATGGAACAACTCAAATGTAGGAAGCAATTCAAGGCTAAAGCAATTAGACAAAATTTCAAATGAAGCATGAAAATTGAGCAATTCATGTATTCAATTTTATATGGGGCAATTGAAATAGTCAGCAATGAAAAGGCAATGATTTGAATGAAGCAATTCAAGTAAAGAAGTACAAATAAGACGATCCAGTTCGGAGTACCAAATGAAATGTACAGTTTGAATATTCAAAAAGAAAAAAATTATTCACCTGTCCCAGTCTTCGGGTTTGGTGTCCTCCGGATCGGGAATGGTGGCGCGGTCGTCCCAATCTTCCGGTTTCGAAGCTTCCGGATCCTTGATCTTCTTGGGCGGCAGCAGATCCCAGTCGGCTTCCAATTCGCCGCTTTCAACTTTTTCCCCGTCGATTTGCACTTCGTACGTGTTGTCCGGCCTTACGATGAGGGTGTACGCATGCGTGTACACGTCGTCCTTAATAATTGAGAAAATTATGGTTTTTCTCATTTTTCATTCTCTCATCTAAATATTGTTTATCCAATCGTTACGTATAGGAGTTGATTGGTTTTTGTAACCAGATCTCCCACAACGCGTGGCAACACTGTCAACGGTGCCTTATTGGATAGCGCCAGTGTGAGTTGTGAGAGATTCGAGACTTTTCTATTCAACAGCATTGGAATTGGAACTCAGTTAAGTAATACCTAGTGTTCCTAAATGTACTTGACACTGCAGTGCTGTTGTGACGTTTTTTGTATATCAGAGTAGGGACACTATGACAAGCACTGACAATCAGAGATCAGACATAACCACAAATAAATTGATGGAAAAAGCGGGAACTTACAGTACACGGACGTACATGACATAAATATCAAAGGTTTGACAAATTGAGAGAATTGGGAGAAAGATGCAAGTTTGTGCAATTTCCAACTGTGGGAACACGGGAAATTAATTCACTCTCGGTATTCGAATTTCCATCGGATAACGTAATTCTACAAAAATGGAAACAGAATATGATGCGGCCGGCATGGAATATACGTTCAGGTCACAAAATTTGCGAGATATTCAAATTTCTTGGAAGGATATAAAACATTTTTCAACGCATTTTTATCAGGTACACTTCAGAACGGAAGATTTGGTATTGAAAAATAGGATCGTATTGAGAAAAAGAGCGGAACCCACAATTTTTAAACTGAGCGAGTATTGAAAAGAACCTTATTCCAATTTAGAACCAACAAGAAACGAAGAACTTGCAGATAATAGTTGCGTTTTATTTGTCCGACTCCGCCACCAGAATCATTCGATGTGTAGTTTTATTTGCAACTTTTTCGATTCCGGTTGCTACTTTTCATTCCGTCTCACTACAAGGAATGACGAGGAATGACTTTTGTCTTTATCATTTTATCATACCCTTTTACCCGCTCGAGGACACGCTATGCACTCTCATACAAAAATCAAAGACGGAAGAGGAAGATATATGGATGTACTCTTCCCAGGACTTGTGAAGGAAGGAAGATGCGAGGATCTCTCATCTAAGCGAAAAACATATTCTTGTCCTTGTCTGGCAAAACATATGAATTGCTTCAAAATCGTCTGTGGTTAGGTTTGATTGTCACTGCTTGTCTAGTGTCCGTACTCTTATATACAAAGAACGTCAAAACTGCAGTGTCAAGTACATTTATAAGGTTCTCTAAATAGTAATACCTAATATTATTTCCACTGGCAAATAGAATAATATACTTGTGGAAATCTCGCATAACCTATGTATCAAGAAAAAAAATGGCAGTTACAGAGCGTTGCCAGGTCTACCTTTTTTGCGGTGAATCCACCGTATTACAATGGGAACTACAGCTCTATTTTTTATACCACAACAGAGCCTCAATATTGGTCAATAGTAAATGGAAATTATAGAGATAATGACTTCAGAGCCGTACCTATTTCTATCTGAAAAGGTCAAAAATGAGAAGATGATCCAGACTTTATCTGAAAGTGAGATTTCAGGAGCATACCAATTTATTTAGGTGTTCTTGAATCAGTTGAAATTATGAGGTTTCTTCAAATTAAGTAAATGAAGAATCGAGATTAATTCAGAGGGGTAAGATTTTTTTTTTCATAGAGAACAGAATTGAAGAATGTCTAATTTTGAAATTCTATCATAACTATCCGAAATTGTAACTGCAAAAGCGTAACGATTTCTTTCCACAGGGGATCTGGAATCAGAATTGAAATTATGTGATTTTTTTAGGAAGAATCGAGATTGTGACTTCAGAGGCGCTCTTAATTTTTTCTATGGGGGTGGAAAATGAAAAATATTGATTTTTTTATTTTAAGGATATTCGACAGCATACTGATATTTAAAAAGGTATGAAATCCATATTCGAAGCATGAGATTGCATCAAACGGCTGCAGAGGCGTGCCTTTTTTTTCTGAAGGGGTCAAAATTGAAAAAGACGGATTTCGAAATTTCATCAAATTTATCCGAGATTGTAACTTCAGGTGAGTGACGATTTTTTTTTAGGAGGGATCTGAAATGAGAATTATTGCAATTATAAGATATCTGTGAATTAAATCATGACTCCAGAGGCGTGCGAATTTTTCTCCTTCGGGTTTCAAAAACGACAAAATCGGAAAAAGTCCAACATATCCATAGTTCAAAAACCATTATTCAAAATTGTGACTCCAAGCGAGCATCCGGGCATTCTCAAGAGGTCTGAAATAAGATTTAAATCATGCGATTTCTGGAAATAAGGTCAATATAGAAACGAGATCATGACTTCTGAGTCATACCATTTTTTTTTTCTGGAAGTTGATTATTGAAAATAGAAAAATTCGAAATTTCATCAACATTTTCCGGAATTGTGTAATTCAGTAACGTACCGATATATCTTTTCAGGGGGTCTATTAGTAGAGTTATAATCTCTTTGAATAGTTAAATCATTAGAGAATCGAGATCATGATCTCAGAGACGTAGGTACGCAATTTTTTTTCAATTCGAAAATGAAACAATGACGAAATATTCGTCAGCTTCAATAAAAATGGTGAAATTCAGGGGAGTACTGATTTTATTCACAGGGGGTCTAGAAATTCAAGTTAAATTCAGGAGATTTCCTCGAATACCTACTTGAGCCAATAAATAATCAAGTTCATGACATCAAAAGTGTAGCAGGTCAAAGATTCAAAAAATCTTAATTGAAAAATTTCATCAACATCCATATTATCTATTATTGTGACTTCAAGGCCGTATCGATTTTTTTAGGGCTTATAGAATAAAAGTTGAATGTATTTCAGTGGCGTGCCAATTTCTTTCTGAGAAGGTAAAAATAAGAAAAATCAATAATTCCATTAACAGTATCGAAAATTGTAACACCAGGAACGTACCGATTTTTCTTAGGGGGTCAAATATGAAAATTGCAGGAATAACTCTGAAATTCCAAACTCTTCTCACCTTGCACCTGATATCCTTGTTTATCAGCACGTTCTTCTCGTTATGGTTGATGATGACGTGAACCTTTTTGGTTCCGGGCCCGCAAATATCGGGACCGAACATAAGCCTGTAGGGCGAGTCTCCATGCATCTCTTCCGAGTTCAAGGAGCAGTCGAAAACTTTGACGTATCCGCCACCGCAATCGATGTTTTGTTCGTGTTTGACAGTGAATTGGACGACCAAGTCCTTGCCCTCTGTCGAGAAGGGTGCGAACTTCCTGCTGAGCGCGTAGAAACGAGCGTCTTCGGATGTCTGGATACCTATCAGAAGAAAATTCGACCTCAAAATCCGATTTTTACGGGTTTTATTCTTTATAGAAACATGACTGTATCACCCTACAACCATACAAATACAGTTCGCTATCAATCAATCATCGCACATATTGGTCCTTCGAGCCGGATTCATCAAATCAAACCTTCAAGACTTGATAAAAAATGACTACATCCAAACCTTCCATCAATAAATAATTATAAAACTGCATAGGTGAATGTTCAACAAAAAAAATCGTGATTCAACCCGTTCTGCTTGAAAAGTATACAGGAATCTCGGTTATCTTGAAATATACGATGTTGCTCAATTCACGACAAAGTTGCGCATTCTGGTGCTGATCAATAATCTGAAAAGAAATCTGACCTATCTTCCTCGGTCTTCAAGATATTGCCGAAAAATTGGAATATGTGATATTCGTTATTTTGCTACTCTCTATGTAGTTGAAAAATAATGACAATTTAGGGTGGCTGGCTTTATTTAACCGGTGAGAGTGATAATATGACATTCAAAATGATTGTAATCTAGTGACAAAATTCTGAGTTTGTTTTTCTAGTCATTAGTAGGTAGCTCGTTTTATAAATTTCTCAATGTCAGGAATTTATTGACTATATAATATTCCTTCCATTATCTCTCATCAAGGCCTTAATTGAAAAATTCACAGCTGGTGATGATTGATGAGAGATTAAATCAGTGGAATCTGATAGTAAACCACAAAATAGATGGCGCTGTAGTTAGTAAAGCGATCATGCCTAATGTCAATCCAACTGTCAGCTGTCAATCTTTGTTTATTTTTAAGAAATAAGGAAATTTGTTCATGAAAAGTCGTCAATACTTAATAATTGTTATATTGGATGTCACAATGTTGTATTATCATGCCTTTTTGTTTTTCTAGAAGATCTGGAATCATCACAACATAGATATGGGTACTTCCTAACCTCAGTATATTTTTTTCTCCATGGATGCTATTTATTTTACAATTTAAACAATCAACCATCAACAGATGACATTTAATGTTAGCGTCATCACAGAAAATCATATACTTTCAGTATGAATAAAGGGAGTGATAAACCATTTTTTTTATTATAGGGAAAAATGACTTTTCGATATTTAGACAGTTTTTTTAGTAGAAGAAGCAGGATTGTGTGAATAGTATATAGGTACCTTTTCAAGTGGGTATAAATTATTTAAATTACCTTTGTTTTCTTCATCGCTGAAGAATTTTCCGGCAGTCCTTACGAATTTTCCAAACTCTTTTCCTGGATGTTTGCTGTACACCCAGTTTTTCTCCCAGGTGTCTGCGAAAAAATAAAAAGCCTTTTTTTTAATCTCGCCTTATACATACACACACACCTTCACCATTACGATCTTCCCCTGGACCTCTCAAAACCGGCAGGGCCTAACCCGCATTTCTACACCGAAAAAAGAACTGGTTCGCTACTCACCATCGTCGAAATTTTCTTCTAGGTACACGGAAGCTTGCACTGCGTAAAGATACGCAAAAACCACCAACGCAGCAAAGTACTTCATTTTGAAAAATCTGATAGATCGCTCCGACACGTCAAACCAGCAAATCGTTCAATTCACAAATACCGAAAAACCCACAATGAGAAGGGTATATACTCCCAGAAATACGTAACTATCTCAGACAGCCGCTCTATCTTCCATCTCATTCTCTCGCACGCAAGCAGCGTTCGGCGCTATAGCGCCGTACGTCTCACGAACCGGATTGACCCGACAGATGGAAGCTTCTCATTGGTCCAACACCTTGATGACTCCGAACGTGGCTCGCTTTGTCTTGCTCGCGTATTTTCAGGTTTCCACAACGTCATGAAGACGTGAAGGACTTTTCAGGTGATACGGTTTACTACAGCTGGACGCACGCCATTGGTTGATACTACAGGATACGTGTGGCGGGTACTTAGCCGTATTTAAATTTGCGTTGCCTATCGTTTGATAAGATAAGTGAATGTATAGTTGCATAATCCATGCTTGTTATCATTCCAAGTGGGGCTTTTGAATAATAATTTACACCTAGTGCTGGCCTACATGGTTAATTATCAGAGATAAGATGGTTTATTGGTTGAATAAAGGATTAAGCTACGTTTGATATTTTTTTCACCTCATCCCCCGAAAAAATTATGATTGATTATTGACTAAATACTAAATATAGGTGCTAGCTATGCGAGTCTAACGTGAAATATACGCCTCAAAACTCAAGGAAAAGTATGAATAAGTTCAAGAATACCTACACAATGAACCAAAGTTGATCGCGCTCTGTATTATTTTGAAAGTAAAAGTGAATTGGTTCATAAACCCATCACCTGATAAAAGTACCTAGGTATTGAATAATTTCATTCTATTGCAGATCAAGTCTTTATACCTACAGTTATTGTTATATCACACACGTAGGTAACAATAAGGGTGAGTGAGTCAATGAAATCAATTTTGTATTTGTTTCCGTGATTCGAATAGGATAAATGATTCTTTCATGAACGATATACAGAGCTGAAGAAGTAGTTTACCTTGAATCGAAGCCATCGTCAAATGACTTATTTAATAATACTGTTATAAAGTCTTTATGTTACTGCAACTGTTTCATGCTTATAAAGATGAAGCAATGAGTAGCGCAATGATCTTAAATGTGAGTTTTCATCAATAACTGTTTCGTTATTTTCGATTGAGGAATAGATTTTATTGTGAATCATGAGAAAATATAACGTTAACGTTTTATATTGTATAGGTACCTAGCTATACCTACTTATTCACTCATATTGATCAGGTGCTTTTAGGTACCTTTTGTGTGTGATAGCTTTTAGATCGGCAACGAAAAAATATATACTAGAGCAGTGCTGACTTTCTAAATCGTGAATAATTTACTGAAAAGGATGTGAATTCACATTTGGCAATTTGAATTTCCTTCAATTGCAGACAAAAGAACATTATTCTGCATTCATTGTTTTTGTTTCTTTTGTTATGCACCTTTGCCTATACGGGACTTTCACATTTTAGTGTGGCCGAAAAGTGAATAAGTGTTATCCTCGTTATTCCAGAATAATGAACAATGTCTTCAATGAACGAACGAAAAATAAAGGACGTTCGCGACATCTGGGGCGGTGAATCGGACAATAAGGAGAACCCTGTATTGTCCCTGGACAACAATGCAGACAACAGGACGACGAAGCACAAGTACAAGACTCTGGAGAGGCACCTCAGCATGAAGAAGACGATCAGGAGGAAGATGATGCGGGATTTGCACGAGATCGGAGATGGCCAGCAAGAAGACAACACCCAGTGTGTCACTGCGGGGTTTTTGGAGCAGATCAGGAATGATCAGCCGGTGCCTGCCAATATCGATAAGCCGAGTTTGTGGAAAAGGTTGACGAAAGGTTGGGGACATTAGTATTATAAAATCGCTTTAACAATTATATGTCTGTATGTTTGTTTTTCGGTGATATTATAACGATTTATTTATAGACATATAATGAGTTCCAGATTGCAATTTGATATGCACAAACTTGTATCTAATTAACTGATAATTTTGATGATTCTAAGGATGATAATTGTATAGTGATATATAGATATTAGACCCTGTAGGCTGTATAATAAGGTAACTCTATATGACTTAACTTTATGAAAACCTGTCACTTTATAAAGTATTATTTTTGAGACTAAAATCAGATATTATAATTAATTCCACGTTCCTGAAATTTAAGATTTTATACAGGGTGTCTGTAAAAGGTTTTTACAGAGACATGCCACATATTCCTTAGACCAAAATAAGTCGATTTAAGTAAAATTACCTCAGTACAAAGTTGCATCGTTTGGGCTCCAGAGCGCCTTGAAGTTACAATTTTTAAATCGTTTTTCCCATAAATTCAAAACAACATATACGATTTTGCTGAAATTTGGTATATTGATAGAATTTCAGGTGGCCAAAAAATTGTGTCAAAATTTTGTCCGATAATAATACATAGGCGTAGAACTTGATTTTTTAAATAATTGCACCTTTAAAAATTCTACGCCAATGGAAGAAAAGGGGTTTGAGTATGAATTTTGGATTGGGTACTCAGTTACTACAAAAAAGTACCCTTGATGACACTCGATTTACTCTCATGGTTCTGACAAAGTTTGTATTTTAATAATTATTGTTTACCTATGTTCTAAAATTACTAAAATGCAAATTTCGTCAAAACCATGAGAGCAATCGAGTCTTATCACGCGAGTACCTTTTTCAAAGTAAATGAGTTGCGCAATCTGAATTTCATACACAAACGCCTTTTCTTCCATTGGCGTAGAATTTTTAAAGGTGCAATTATTTAAAAAATTAAGTTCTACGCCTATGTATTATCATCGGACGAAATTTTGACACCATTTTTTTGTCACATAAAACTCTATCAATGTAACAAATTTCAGCAAAATCGTATATGCCGTTTTGAATTTATATGGGAAAAACGATTTAAAAATTGTAGCTTCAAGGCCCTTTGGAGCCCAAACGATGCAACTTTGTACTGAGATAATTTTACTTTAATCGATTTATTTTAGTCTAAGGAATATGTGATATGTTTTTGTGAAGACCTTTTACAGACACCCTGTATATACCAGAGAATATATGATACCTATACCTGGATATCTCTCTGGTGAATCTATAGAGTAGGTATAAATTTACGATCAAAAAGTTCTATGTAGGATTGTGTATTCATTTTTCTCAATGTTTTTATGCTTTTTGATATATTTTAGAATGGCTGTCCATATATTTCGGTACATTTTATATGCCGGTGATTTCTGGATTTTCGCAATACTAAAAAACTTCTATGAACCATTTACCATCATTATCTTTTCTTCATCGGTCTTTTCATCTGCTTTAATCAATATTTGTTGAAATTCTATGATATTTACTGATAAGAAATTATAAATGAGTGTAGACACAATGAAAACAATTTGATCGCCTGATGTGCATATGTGTCAAACATATATTTGGTTCTGACTATTCGATATACAGGGCGATTCCGGTTTTGAGGTACAAACTGAAATTGGTAATCGATCAAAGAAGCTTATACGAACACGAGTCTGATCTCGATCAGTAGCGAAGCTACAGGGAGTTGACATTTAATAATTTTTTTGTAATAATGAATATCTCGCTCACTTCTATATGCAATTTGATATTTGTTGTGGTTAATACTTCTTAAATGATCATCATTTCAAACATGTTGAATATTTTTAATATTCACAGCTAGAGTGTATAGAAGTTCAAGGTTTTTTTTTAGTTTTCAAAGTTGGTTATTCATTCTTTCCGATAGGTTGAATGCCATATTATATTTGAATTGGTTTGATGATATTATTCAAGATATTGGAAAGAAATATAGATACAACTGGATGAAGCTCAACCATTGGTTCAACACAAATTTTCCGCGTTCGTTGGATTGGTCATAGCTCATATTTTGATCGAGATCGGACTGATGTTTATACAAACTTTTTTGATCATAAAATGATGGCCCATATTCCGGTTTCTACCTTTAAACATGAATCACCCTGTATACTTACCATCAGATTATTACCTATATTATTGTTTTTGTTTGATAAATGATAACTGTATACTCTGTATTCACTCTGTTGTTTACTATTATACAATGTTAAAATATACTTCCCGTTGCTTTACCTTTTTGTCATAGTTTTTATACCTACCGGCGATATGAAAATGAATACTATATCATTTTATTGTCACCCACATAGCTCTCAAGCGATGAATATTGTTAATTATAAGGTTATTCAACACTTTTTGTTGATTCCAATGGTTAATTATAAGGTTATTCAACACTTTTTGTTGATTCCAATGAATCAAGAAGCAATACAATGCATATAATTATGATCAACAGGTGTTTATTCGGTTAGTTGAGTTCGAACTTTTAATCAACAAGCACATTAACCCACATATTTCCGTAGGTAATCTTTCAATAACTGCTTAATCATTCATAAAAAATGGTCGTAAAGAAATAATATCTCAGTGGGTAGTTCATTTTAAATTATTGTCATCAGTGTTCTTCCTCAAAAATCGCCAAGGAAGCAATTTCAGATCATTGATGATGGAATTGGCCGTTTGATGCTTCATTTATTAGTATCTGAAGAACATTCCAACGCGGATTCCTTAAATTTTTCGTAACTCTATCGAATAAAATGATGAAAGCGAAATTTTCAAGTGAAGATTATATTTTCGCCAGCGGACGTTGCGTCACATGCAAAAACTACAGCGGACTTTTAGCCACAACCAAAAAACTGACAAAAGACAGAAATAAACAAATCTCAACAGAGTTCACAATTATTGATTATAAATTATATATTTATGAATTTATATCAATTTTTTTTTTGTTCAAATTAGTTTTACAAACTCACATTTGTCGTTCACATTGAAATTATTGAAATACCACTCATGTTAAAATTTACTGGCTGCAGGACCATGGACGATAGCCTTTGGTTGTAATTTTTTAACAAATAAAAGAGCATTTCTTTATTATTACGGTAATTTTGCACTTATCATGCGATGGGTTTTTTTTCGAAAATTTTTTTTTGGTACTCACGTATTTTTGTCTGAAAAACACGAATTTGATATTGAAAATGTGAACAAACCACTATTTATCGAGATATTTCAAGAAAAAGT